TAGGAGCACAGCCACGCAGAGAGAGGAGCCTCCACAAATAGGCTCCCCAGCGAGGTCCCGGGGCAGGCACCTCGTGGGAGCGGAGCAGGCTGCACTCGCTGCACTTGGTTTGCTGCCTGGCCCAAGCCACCAGCCTCCAGCCAGTGAAGACCCCTGGGCAGCTGGGGTTACCCAGGGACCCAGGCACGGCCAGTTGCGGGCCACAAGGCTGAAAGGGCCTGAAGGTCCCCAAAATATGAATTAAATCCACTTTGCTTTGGCAGAGCCCTGAGGAAAGGGTGCTGGCTGCGTCCAGCCTAGGGGGGTCATTAATCACAGCTGACACAAGCCCGGAGATGCCAGCCAGGGCTGCAGACACCATGACCACGCGATGCTGTGGGAGTCTGAGGCTGTACGGAAGCAGGCAGAGGAGGGAGCATCTCTGCTCACAGGCTAGCCTGCGCTGGCACATCCCCGCATCCCAGAAAGCACCCTGCAGCCCCCAAGCACCGGGGGTCCTCTGCAGAACCACAACGAAAACCCCCAGCCAAAGCCCAGATGGAGCAAACGGGCACTGGGAATCCCTGCTGTCTCTACCAACCTCAAGCCCTGAGCAACAAGATTTCCCTTCTCCGCCCTTGTTTTCCTCAAGGAGAGACACCCCTTAAGCCACCGTAGCAAACTGAGGGATGCTTTTCCTCCTCTGAAACTGTTCTGGCATTTCCTGGAGAGAAAGGCTCAGGACACGGGGCTGTGGCGTGATTTCTTTGCCAAGCCCGCAGAGTTCAGGCAGCTCTGCGCCCACGCTCTGTGTCTCACGGTGCCAGCCCACCCTCGCCAAGGGGGATCAGCACGCATTTCCCCATTTCACAAGTGAGAGTGTGAAGTCAGAGGGGAACCTGGGCCCCCACCCCGCCTCCCTTCTTCCCACAGAGCAAGGGCTTACTGGTGCTCCAGCAGCTTTCGCAGAACAAGGACAAAAAGAAAGCAGCCCTGAGCCCTGACCGAGCCCCTCCATCCCTGCTGCGGCACAGCAGAGCGGGCAGCCCCTTGTGAATGGCTGAGGATGCCTCAGCAGCCAGGACACCCCTCCCAGGGACCCCCTCCGCCAGCATTGCCTGCCTCAGGGCACAGCATCGCTGGTCTGCGGCTGAATTAAAGTTTCAGAAAGTTTTGCTGCCTCTTCACTCAAGACTGCAAGTGCACAAAGAATTATGGAAGGGATGGTTGATAGATGAAAAAAACACATTCAAAACTACTTACTGACTAATGATGCAGAAAATGTTATGAATAAGTATCCCTTTCTTGATTTATTACTTTAATTATCTGACATTCTATAGACACCCATTAGTGGGGTTTTTTTTGGTTTAGATTTCAATTTTCTGTCTCATGGTGAAAGCTATTTATCATAATAATCAGTAAAATTCAAAACCTTTTAGCAGTATTTATAAAATTCATTTACTATGTTCAGCCCTTGGAGAATGACAAAGAAGGCGCATTAGCACGTGTGCTGAAGTGTTTTATGCAGGATTATCTGTCCATAAGAATGATTAAAAGTTCTTTAGAATATTTGTAATCCATTATGTTTTTTTTTTTTTATATTAAAAAAAAAGTTTTCCTTACCTATGCTGTGACTGGAGGCTGGGACCTGCTGATTGGGTGGCTGCTGCACCTTCGTCCGTATAATCCTGAATGTATTGAAAAGAAATTACTACTTAGCATTAAGCACGCAATTGCAGGGGCATCAGATACTATTTTTCAGTTCCGGACACCTACATCAATACAAAAATGCTTTTCTGGGTATTATCCCCTTGTCATTCACTGAAAGACCAAAGTTTGGTGGTGAACCCAGGACCATGTTTTTGTCTCCAGCCCCTGACATTAGGGACATTTGGGTGACAGACTCCTACACGCTCCTCAGGATGCTGCAGAGTTTGGTGTTTCAGTGCCTTTGAGGACCTAGTCCTCACCGCCCAGGAAAGAGAGATCCATTACTATTTGGGCACCCGTTGGACCCAGCACCCCTCCTCAGGGAGCTGGACACTTCTGGGTCCAGACATCCCAGCAGGCCGTGATCTGCATCCTTGGGTGCTGGGACACATTTGCAAGGCTGTCCCTAGACCGCCCCGGGTACAGTACTCACACAGCTGAAGAACTTGGATATTTCAGAAAAGGACCCACTTAGCCAAATTAATATTAAAACAAAAATGTGTTCAATTAAATGCTAATCTTAAAAGCTGAATAACTACATTGTCATCGCTGGGGACAGTCTCTGCTCTGATTTATAATCACGTCAATCAGGAAAAATTCAGAGATGCAGACAAACTAGAAGGCATGTGTTGTGTTGCCGGACAGCGGGCAGCTGCTAAAAAGAGCTGGGGAGGTGCTCTACCAAGTGCTCACCTGCCAATGCACTGTGCAAAACGAAAAGACGGGGTCTGAAACGCCTCCGACAGTTCTGCCACCGACTGCAGCGGAATCGGAACGGGCTTGAAGGAGGCACAGTGCTCACTCACCGCACGTCTCCCTGCCTGATGCACTCTTTACGCAGCGGTAATGCTGCGGTAAGCGCTTCTCCTCTCTTCACCTAACAAACTCTTCTCCCATTTCTGCCTGCCGTGAATTTGGAAGAGGGGAGAGGAGGGGAGGCGTGAGACGGAGCTGACGTGGGGATGCATTCAGAGGAACAAAGAGCAGTTCCTTGCCTGAAGGTCACCCCATGAGCCGGTACAGGAACCGCCTGGCGCCATCCCAGAAGTGGACACGCTGCCGTCCCCTTCCCCTCCCGTCCCTCTGCAGAGTGTGGTGGAGGCTGGCGGGGGCTAGGACTGTTAGTAAGCCAGCCTTCAGCTGCCAGCCCCAGCGCAAAGCTGCTGGGTGTCAAACATCTTCTGCAACTGGGTCGCTGGCAGCAAATTCCCCTGCCAGGGGCTGAAGCAGCCAGCCTGGCGTGGGGGTCAGAGGGAGCTGTGCAAGCTGCTTTGGCGGGGGACTGTGCAGCCAAAGACCTGGGACCCTGCATGAGTAAGAGTGGAAATAACCCCCAGCACAGGGCCTCCTTGCCGTCGTGAGGCCTTCTGACACATAAACGTCTTCATCTCCAGAGGGATGGAGGACTGGAGCACTTCGAAGCAGCTGGGCAGCTCTCGGCTTATTTCAGCAAAACTAATCGCAATGATTAATTAAGCCTTAATCACACAGAGTTGCTCCTGCTGCGGAAGAGTGGCCTATTATTAATATTAATTAATGTTATTAATTAATAATAATAGTTATTATTCACTCATATATGGGGGCAGCAGCTGAAATTCACCTGCTAAAAGGCAGCCTCGGCAACGGGCATGTGCCAAGCAAAGTCCATCCCAGCAGCTCCGCTGCTGTCCAAGGGCAGCGACAGCTCCCCTGAAGGGAACAGCACAGCCCCGGGGGATCCCCTCTCTCCACTGGGGAGGCAGGGACGGGGGGAGCAGCACAGCGGCTCCATCCTCCCCTGTGCAGGAACGCCAACTGCTCGGCTTCACCCTCCCTGCAGCAGGATAGGAACCACACTGTGCGATTTCGAATGGGTCCAGGACTGCGGCAACAGGGCAGCCCCTGATTTGCACCTCAGCGGTGCATAAGGGCATCAGGAGCAGTGGTCTGCATCCTTGGTGTGTAACATCTCTACCAGCAAAGCCTTGAAGTATATGCTTAATTTTAAATACGAGAATAAAACCCACAGACTGCAACATGGAACTAGGAGGAGTTAGCATTAGAGCCAAGTGTTTTGATGTGAATTCCAGGTTTCTTGTCATGATAGTCTGATCTGGGTTTTCAGGATATGCTGCTAGGCTGGCAAAAACAATTCTCTGGGTAAACAGACTCACTCAAAAAGACTGCGTGCACTTCTAAAAAGGGATTTCACATGTTTAAGAAAAGGAAAAGATCTCAGCCACAGTCACAAGCAGATGAGAAAGAATGAGATTTCTGGTCAAAAAACTTGGTGGCAGATCATGAAATGGGTTTCTGATGCAATGGCAGTGGGTGTGTGGACATTATCACTGGGGAAACATGCAAGGCCACAGCAAGAGGTAGAATATGGAAACCGGCTCAAAACATGACTGGAAGCTACTTAATTTCTCTTTTTCCTAGAACTATGACTGCCTTTTTGGTAGTTTTTTGGAGGATGCTTGAAGCCCTACTGCACAAACAGAGGACTGCTCACAGCAGCAATGCTTCTCACGTGGCAGGGCTCCAGCTGACTTTTATGGAAGCAGAGCTTGCCCTTAGTTATTTGAGGTCTGTCAGAGTGATATTTTCCTTCAGTTTTCCTGGTGTCTACATTTCTCAAATCCTTTTAAAAACTGAAAATGCCATGTCCATAGTCCAAATTGTGCTCTGGAGCCTCAGTGAGTCAGGAGCTCCCAGGCAGCAGCAAAGGCTGCACATGAACTGACCCATTTTTGCTCTTAAACACGCGAATGCATGACTCAATGTTCAGTTCGGCAAGGCAGAGACACCATTCTCCGCCAATGCTGGGGAAGCCACTCTGGCTACTCAAGCGGCAACTCCATGAATGCAAATCAGGTTGGGATAGACAATAAAAGAATATTGCATCAATTTATTTCACGTCCATGGACACAGATGGGACTTTATAGCTAGCTGCATTCAAAGAATTTGCATGCAGTCACACAAGTGAAAACCATCTCACCAGCATGGTGAGGTCGGAGCCCGGCACAGAGCATACTCCCGAGCGAAAATGAAAGGACTCTGCTTGCCAGCGGTGTGGGTGTGCATGAGGCTGCCCAAGCGCTCTGCCTTCCAAGTATTAATCCCTTATTATTGGTCTGGCAGGGCTGGAGACAGAACAGAGTACTTCACTGGGGTTTTTTAACACCAGCTTTAGACTCAGAAGGAAGCGGGTGAGTACAGTAGGTGTAACTGCGATGGCAGTAGGTTAGTATAGCTCCAGACCGCTCTGAAAGCCCAGTCCTGCCCAGCAACATTGGGGCAGAACTCCCAAACATGGGACTGAGGCTCCAAATGAGATTCTCCTGCATTTTTATGAAAGCAGTTCAAGGCCAGTTAAGTGTGTCCATGTAACAAGCAGAGAGCTGAGGCACTCAAAAGCTACCGACCAAATTCTCCCAGTGACGTTCACGCTGACGGTCGCAGGCAGCAGCCAGCACGGTTCTGGGCCAACTTCAGCAAGACCGAGCAGGCGTCAGGAGGACAGAAGTGGTACCTTAGACCCGTGCCTTGGGTCCCCTCCTCTGGGCACCCGGGACCCCCCTTTTCCCAGATGGCTGCTGCCCCACTCGACAGCCATCTGAGCTTTCCCCGGGGGAAGCACGTCCCACTGAGCCCCCTCCCCGTCGAGCAGAACTGAAGCCTCATTCAGAGCAAACACACGGGATCATTACCAGCGAGGACTGCGACTCACGTATTGGAGAAAGGTCGGGAAAGAAGCAAAAGCCAGCGGCAGAACCTGCCCACTCCCGGGAAATGCTCATAATCTGTGATGCTTTGGCCACCAAGGTGAACCCACAGCTGTTCCCAGCCCCAAACGCATCATGGAAACACATGCAAGCTGCATTTCTTGCAAACAGCCCAAAACACCCAGTCCTACTGACAAACAAGGATTCAGTGACAGCGCTTCCGAGAAGCGTCCCCCGCCAGGATCAGACAGATCTTTACCTGTTAATTGAACTGACGCTGGGCACAGTGTCGTTGTCACACACTCGCTCAGCAAGGAGTCTATCCCTGATCTCCCAGGCAAACATGGTGGGATTTTGGCGTTTGTACTCTGCAATTTTTTCAACGACTTTGGGTGTGGCGACCTTTGGTTTTGATCCTCCAATCACTCCAGGCTTAATACTCCCGGTTTCGTAATACCTGGGACAACATCCAAAACAAAGCTTTAGTCATCACAAGTAGACAGAGAACATGCTTTGAGATTTATAGAGAACATAATTTCAAGGTAACCAAACCCCAGCAAATCCTGAGATACATCTTCACTTTCACATACACATTTTCTGCCTATGTAGTGCTTTATCACCTAATAGATTAACTTATAGTAATTGGAATTGGGCCTTGGGATACAGTAGATATTCTTCTGTAATAACAAGACAAAAGAAACAACGCAAGATTAAAGGGCATGCTGGGATCCAAAATTACTTGAAAATGTGTGTTATTAATCAGCGGTACTGGCAATAATAGAAACAAATCACACCGAAGACCACTTTTTGCGGTGGACTCTTTTGTAGTAAATTACTGTTTCTACGGAAATTCTCTGTCATTAATATCTACGGCTTGTTATCATTTCATAGTGAAATGAAGGCTAGGTATTGTATTTTATTTGCACCTCCAGAATAAATATGCCGGCATATCTTTTTCCCATTTTATGGCATTAATATGCATACGATGGTTTTAATAGTTAATATTTTTCAAAATGTATTCTTTTTAACATTATGTTTTTAGTACTTTCAGTCATGAATTTCAAGGAGAAGGGAGCTTTCCACACTCTGGAGGGGTCCAGCTGATGCAGGGGTTGGTTTCTGTGACCAGTCCTGTGGCCCTTCCTCAGGTAAAGCATCTTTACCCACACCAGCAGCTCTGCTGATGCCACACCAGGAAAGGGGGAAGCCTGGATCCCTAACCGACAGAAATCTGCCAGATTTCTTCACATGTAAATCACGCAAGAGCAACTGCTTTTGGTAGCATCACAACAATACATCACAGCTGAGATCCCCGGCCCCACAAGTCTCCCCTTTTAATGAACGAAGCCTTGAATGTGCTGCTAAGAGCAGAAGTCATCTCTTATCCATTGAGGGCCGGAACGGAGACCAAGAATGAGATCATGCTCCTCTGTGCTGCGCTGTCAGGGAGCGTAACGCACGAGGCACTCTCCTGGCAACACACTTCTTCGTATCTTGTGAATTTTCTCGTGAGCAGATGAAAAATAAACCCCTTGCCTACCCGCAACAACTGCCACAACTGCCCTGATCCGGCACATCCTTTCTGTACAGAGCAGACCTCAACTTCGTGAGCCTTTCAACCAGACACCCACCGAGCTGCACACTCTCAGCAGCTTAAACACGTCCACTCAGTGCTCTGTGCCCGCATTTCTAGTAGGGAGCTCAGAAAAGACTCCCAAGTAAGAACATAAGACTGCTTATTAATATATTTTCTCTGCAGCTACTTGACATACCCATTATATGAAAAAAAAAATTAATTCCCCAATCTCTCCAGGGTGAGCAGAGCACAAACAGGCTGTGCAGCCAAAGTCTGTCTCACACAACCATGTTCATCAAATTTCTGCCAGGCTACCGGTTTTCAATCTTTCTGGGAGAGGTTTGCGTGCAGGGCCCAAAATTCCTTTAAAGAGACTGACACTGTGTTGTTTGTACATGTTTTCAGATATTCTGGATGCAGATGCAGACTCATATCTACCAGTCTCCATGAGCCACTTAAGCAACATTATTAATGGAAAACACCAAGTGTCAGCGATGGATTAACCCTCCTGGTGTCCCTAAACGCAGCCTAGCCGTGAGCTTTACAGCTTAGGGCGGTAATATTCATCTCCTTCCGTGCTTCCTGATGACATGACAAAATAATGGCAAACTTGAACCACAAACCTCCTAAGACCTTGCACCCCTGGCCTCTAAACCTCCACCGCTGGCATCTCTCCTGTGAGGAGGGTGTAGAAGGAAGCCAGACAATACCATGAATGCTACCGAACAAGAAGTCATAGTTTTCTTAGTTCCAGTCAAAACCACAGATTTTACAAACGTTCCGTGTGGTTTTCTCCAACAGCGCCTCGCCGCACCGTGAGACGGTGCCTGTCGACTACCCCGCGACGCAGGGGAGCGTCAGCCAGCAGCTCGGGAAGCCGTGGCTGCGCAGACGAGACGGTGTTTCCCGTGGTGACTCCACCACGGTAGGCAAGCCGTGATGGCAAAGGACAACGCTGTGGCAGTGGCGAGCTCACCGGGGGACAAAGCCCTGGTGCCCTCTGGACAGCAAGACCTGCACTCCCAAATCCTCTACCCACTGCCTACCCACCCGCCCTCACCACCTGAAGCCCGCAAAGGCATGCACACATCAACGGAAAGACTTGCCTCGCGGGGGAGGGTGCAGGATTGGGCCCAGACCTTTTTCCCCCGGCAGCTGGGAGAGCTCACTGCGATGGGGGACAGCTCTCGCCCAGCAACACCGCTGACACCTCCCTCCTATTCGCTCTAGCAATGAACGTGGGCGCAGCAAAGAGCCTGCACGCTGCACAGCACGGGCATCCCTGACTCCCGTCTCCATTTTAAAGCCAAGAACGGCTGCAGTTCGCTTCATTTTATGCACATCAGATCTGGGCCTTTTGCCCCCAGCAAGTTTCCAATGCAGGTGAAGAGTGGGCACCCCTGTGGTACCCTCCTCTGAGAGGTGAGAGCTTCACTTATACTGCAACTGCTGGTTCCCTGCCTCTGGATGTTTTTTAAGTCTGTACCAAGGACTGAAAAATTCCGACCATAAAATTCCAAATGCAAGGATTTTTCATAAGGATTCCCATTTTTCTCACACACACATGCACATGCAAAAACACACACACACACACACAGAGCTGCAATTACAGTGACATTTTACCCACTGTAATTATTAGTTATGAAAATAATGAGCTATGAAATTCCAATTTATTGTTGACAACTTTAATGACAAAGCTCTGGAGCCTCACTCATAGCTCTATAGTGCAAATACATCTGATGGTAAATCTATTCAAACTATCAAAAGTAAAACCATCAGACATTTGCCTGGTAGGCAAATAAATTGCCCCTTTCTTAGCTGTACGTTGGTCCTAATGGGAATTGGTGGCAAGTCTGCTGCAGCGGAGAGCATCACCAGCTGAACCACGCCAGCCAGGCTGGGAGCAGGAGCCTGTGCTGACAACGGATGCAAAGACATAACCGAGTCAAAAAGCCCGTGATGGGCAGGCAGGTCTCAGATAAAGCCCATAGAAAGTTTTCCTGTCTAAAATAGTAAAGGCATGAGCGTCGTCAAACCCACAGCGGGAGGAATGCACGTAGCTTGCAGGGGAATGCATCTCCCCACAACGAAGGCATGAGAGAAAAAGCAGGGACGCTGAGCGTAACCTGCACACTGGCTTGTACAGCTCTCTAAAAGCACACTGTGCAGGGCTGTGGCGATGGTGTTCGCGAGTTAAGGCGAGTATAGGCTATGATGAAAAGAACGCCAAGACCTACAAAACCAGGGGCCTGTGACTTTGCCAAGTAAGTCTGATTCTGAACACTTAAACGGCCACTGAGAGATCATAAACGCTGCTAATCCAAGCAGATACCCTGCGTGATACTACAAAATATTGCCTTAACAGTCTTTGCAGCTATGCTATGTCCAGGAAAGCAAATTGGTTAAAAATTGGAAAATAAAAAGATGGTAAAAATAAAAACATTACAAGTAAAATTCTAAATTCTAAACAATGAAGTAACTGTGAAAGTTTAGTAAATAGTTCAGGAATTAACTTTCCCAGATTATCAAGAAAAACATATTCTTACCAAAAAAAATGTTTTCCTTAATATAAGTTGCTCAAATATCTCAGAATACCTGAAGTCCAAAACCATTGTAATACTATAATTTTCACAAATTATGTTCACATTTGCTCACAAGATACAAAGAAGCATGAATGGTATTTTTGACCTGAATCTATGTCAAATTTTAAAACGAAATCAGGGAATTATATGAATTTGGAGTTTAATTTCCTGTTGCCATAGTGGTTTGAACAGCTCCAGCCTCAACAGAGGGCTACTCCCAAAAGAGCCAAAATTAAGATGGTTAATAGTTATGGCATTCTGTGCTCTAGTGAAGAACGTATTCCATCACAAGAGTAGAAGAAGATGTGGAATTAAACAGTGGGACAGACTGCAAAATACCCTTTGTGAAGGGCACAACAACATTGATGTATATATATCACATATAATTATATTATTGCTAAAAGAGAGTCTTCTTCAGAAAGCAAAACAAGTAACTTCCACAACTTCTATTTTTTTCCTATTTTACTGAGGATGACTCCCAGATTTCTCTACTTGTTCAGAACAGACAAGTATGGAATATATGCCATATATACAGCAAATACACCCTACTTGGCATTTTGCGCTTTGTGTTATAATTACCTACAAGAAACTGTGAAAGAGGCAAACCAGAGATAGGCATAGTGGTACTTTTTTCCCACATCAAGCATATAAAACCATGAGGTGAGGAAGCCCCTTTCCTCATCGGACTGACTTCCTGAGGTTTCTACTATTCTCCATTTGTTTGCAGCCTTCAATTAAGGGACCGGCATTGATACTTCTCTCTGGACGGACGCAGAAGGATTCGTTGTCCCCCCTTTACCTGCCAAGTATTTTGCTGACGCAGCCATGGCTGACGCGGAGCTGCCGGGAGATGTCACACGGCCGGACCCCTTGGTGGGCGAGCTCCACGATCCTTTGGCGAACAACATCTGGGAGGGGGCGGCCATTCACAAAAACACCCCCCAGCTGATTCACACCTCCATGTCCTGAAACACACAGGGGAGGGGGAGAAGGGCAGGAGAAGAAGAGCTGTGTGAGAGTTTCGGAGGTTTCTGCAGGGCAGACCCCCCCCAGCCCAGCGGTCCCTGGGGCTGGGCATCGCCTTCCCGGTGTCGGTCCAGCCTGCAGCTGCTTTTCCCCAGGCGCTGCGCGACCCACAGCACGGAGGCGGTCACGGCCGCGCTGCCTGCGCTGCCACAACGCCACTTGCCAGGGGCAAGGACCCTGCTGCATGAAGGCAGATCGAGCCCCGAGTTGGAAATGGCCACGGGAAAACACGCAGCGATGCCCGGCTGCCCAGACACGGGCCACCCTCCTCCCGAAGCCAGCGGCCGCTGTCGCCCAACTGCGAACTCCGGGGGCAGGCCTGGTGCTGCCCCACGCGGGAGAGGCTGCTCGTGAACCTCTGCGTAGGAAGCCAACTGAAAATAAGGCTGGGTGATCGGTCAGCCTACACACTGTGTCTAAGCACAGAAGGGGATACCTGAAATTAAATACGTGGGGTTTTTTCCAAATGCCTTGACTTAATCGAGAGCAAAAAAAACCAGAGCATGATTTCTGCTCTTACAATTTACAGCAGTTTTGGCAGATATTATAATCCCACCAATGAAACATGAACACTCGGGCAAGCCCCATATATTATTCCTTTTCTAGCAAATTTGCACTGTTCACCTTTAGCAAGGTGAATCACGTATCTGGTGGGAAACGGGACCCACTTGGATAAATAGTAGTGAAACTGTGTAAAACCTATGAACATGTAATAATCCCATGTATCAAGTGAGGAAATATTATTAATCCTCATGCTGTTAATCATCCAAACTACTTAGATTACAGAGGAGTGGAGAAACTGAAAACAAGCAATAGGGGCAGTATGGATGCCAATTCTGGAACAAAAACAGTTCTGAAAATCTCTCTATTTGCACAGGGCTTGAACGATACTGAATAAGCTGACAAGCCAAATGCCTTAGTGTTAAAAAAAAAAAAATATATAGACCTATTTTTATTTAAATCTGGTCATTTCACCATTGATAAACTGCTGTCAAACTTTGCAAACACCTTCTAAAACTGTCAGCACACATAATGAATCCACACAAAATATGTGATTGCTAAAGCCAGCACCGAGCAGTAAGTGTCTGCTCTCTGCTTTCATCAGTGCAAGAGGCAGCCCTCTGCCAGCCGCCGACCTGGCCTCAGGCTCGCCCATCCCTC